TTTGTTTATTTGTTTGTTTTTCCTCCTTCTTCTCCGCATGCACTGTCACTATATAACTCAGGACTTAAGCACCTGCCCCCTCCCCCTTGCTTGTTTCCTTACTTTCCCCCTGACACACTTTGGTGTATCACGGCCCTCTCTGACTCATATTAGGAAGTTTTTCCAATAAAGGCTGTTAGGCTAGTCTCCAGTGAGGGTGGGTGACGGTCACAACCACGCATTATGGGTATAAAATACTTGACTGCAAGATTAACAGTGCATCAATCTTCACAAGAAGCTTACACCCTTTAGTGGCGCTAAGCTATGAAGACCAATGCAGACAAAAAAAAAAAAAAAAGAATCATACCATTCATCCTCTGGGAGCTGGCCATGTCCAGTAGTTGCTGAAATATCTCCGTCTGGAACAAAGTGCTGGACAGACAGAATTAGACACAAACTATATTTAGGCTGTCTGTGTTAAAGGACATATGTTTTAGATATGAAGCTCTTGGCTTTGAGTCCTACTTACAGTCTCGGTAGTATATATAGTATATGTTGGATTTAAAGTAACGACTACAAAGTCGAGGTTCAAGGTTCATCTCTCACCCTGGGACTAGAAGTTGGAAAAAACAACCTCACAACAAATTCCATTCAGACTTGTTGCCAAGGTCCACTGTTTGAAATGGAGTTACGGAACATTTAGGAGGAGTGCTGTCCATCAATATTGGCCGCTTTTGCCTCAGTTCAGCTCAGACAGTGTCCCGAGCAGCATTTTGATTCTTTTCATGTTTTTTTGACAGGACTTTTACACTTTCTGACTGAAAGCTGTGCACTTCCCAGCATCTGCACCTGTTAGAGGCCGGTGCTGGTGGACAGTGCAAACTTTCAACATGTCCTGAAACTACATTATAGACGGTGGAGCTCAGTGATATATCTGTCTATCCTGCGGTGCACTGAGGCCAAGAGACAGTAAAGAAGGGAACAAGTGAGAGATACCATAGACATACACTCACTGGCCACTTTATTATGTACACCTGTTCAACTGCTCATTAATGCAAATAGCTAATCAGCCAATCACGTAGCAGCAGCTCAATGCATTTAGTCATGTATACATGGTGAAGACGAGCTGCTGAAGTTCAAACTGAGCATCAGAGTGATGAAGAAAGGTGATGAAAGAAAATGACTTTGAACGTGTCATGGTTGTTGGTGCTAGACAGGCTGGTCTGAGTATTTACTGGGATTTTCAGCACAACCATCTCTAGGGTTTACAGAGGATGGTCCCAAAAAGAGAAAATATCCAGTGAGCCAAAATGCCTTGTTGATGCCAGAGGTCAGAGGAGAATGGCCAGACTGGTTCAAGATGATAGAAAGGCAACAGGAAGTCAAATAACCACTGGTTACTGCAGGTGGGCTTTGCCGTAATTTACTGTGTTGATTGCAGCCGTTCACGGCACATGGGCTACAAATGCCATTATGAAAATAAACAACACACTAAACGAAGAGAGGTATGAACAAGGCTATGATGCCACAGTTATGGAAAAATGCAAGATAAATTGACTGGCTAGCTTCCTATGATGTTCATGGTGTTTATGAAGTTTGGAGGATGACGTATGACTTGCAGATTCTACTACAGTCATACGTCATCTTTCAGTTTTAGTAACAACCTTCTATTTTTAACTTTGAGCACAAAATTATTTGTCAGAAAATATTTGGCGAACACAACATAGTAAATACAGAAGAAACCTCATGACAATAACTCTTACTCTCTTCTCCATCCTTCTCCTCCTCCTAACATTTACCCTGCAGGCACTGAATGAAAGCGCGTCACAGCTGTTTTGCAGTGGTGAGGAGACCAACGTGGAGGAGGGCATCGCCATCATGGACGAGGCCGTCATTCCCTGCCTTCACCTGATGAGCCGGGACGAGGCTTTATCCCAGGAAGACCGGGACGCCATGGAGAGCATCCGCAGCCACTGGTGCTGCTGCCTCGGCCAGGACATGGATGGTAAGATGTTCAGCAAGATAATCTTTACAAATGAACTCTTTTCTGATTTTTGAAGCCTAAATTCAAACACCAGAAAGCTATGGTTAGGCTATAAACAAACTACATTACGGTCACATGACTTCAAAGTTGCCCCCACAATGATGCTGCAAGGCATGTATGGCGTGATGATATTCTGTAGTCTCTTTTAGCTACTTGTTCACAACTCCTCCTCACTCCTTTTTGAGACACATAAAAGTGGGGTATTTACTGAAGTATTTTTATGTCAGAACAAAACGTGAAAGTCTCTTCAGCTTGTGTTAACCACAGACCTTATTTCAGACATCTAACCAAAAACCCACTGACTTCAAGACGAGGGAACCAGGAGTGTAATAATGCTAACTCAATTCTAGGTTTTAGCACTCATTCCTGGGGCACTCTATGTAGCAAATAGGCAGCAACATCATGGCGCATTGCATTCTGGGTAGTAGCATCCATACCATAGGACACACTTTTTCAACAGAAACGAAATCATGAATGGACCGGTCAAAGAGCGAGCGCAAAACTCCAAAGGAAATTAACAGCCCCAGTTAGTATGAACTAGTGAAGTGGTTAGGCGGTTGGTGTAAGTTTGTTCAAAAATATCGCAGGTTTCAGATGGGTGGATCATAAATTGACAAATTAGTGTTCCAAGTGAGTTATCAATAAATTTAAGAGCCGTGCAGTAATCCAACTTTGACCTTCTCTTCCCCTTTTTTCCTCTCTTTCCCTGTGTACCCATGGTGCTTCTCTAAGTCAAGGATGCTTCCTTGGTAGGACAGGCCCTTCCAAATCAGGTCCTAAAGGGCACACATCAGAACAGGCTAGCGAGTGCCCAGGTGTGCATCACTGAAGAGGCCCCGCCTTCAGTTCCGTGGGTACTTCATGCCCGCTGAGGATATACACATGCATCCTTGAGAATTCTCTGAAGGAAGGACTTGGTCCTCAGTAGAATTCAAAGGATCCTTGACATAAGAACAGTCCTTCGATTTGATGGTGTGGCCTCCTTGAAATTCAGCCGTTTAAGGATCCTTCCTTGACTTCAAGAAGCACCATCAGTCTTTAATGGAGCCTCTGTGTCCTTAAGTCCCACAGTGCTTTGCGTTCTTCGCTACTGCTCATGTCATGATCCTGTTCTCTACAGCAGACTGTGTATCAACCTTTTCTCGTGTGCACATGCATGCATCCTTCTCTGTGCACTATTAGGGTTGAAATACACAAACAGACATTAAACTACAGTGCACTAAGATAACCTCCCATTTCTGCTGCTCTTCCTTTGTTTTCAGACTCATTGCAGGTGAAGCTGGGTGAGTTTCTGCCCAGGGTTCTGGACGGTTCAGCTGAGACAGTAGTTCTTAAAGACCCACCCAAAGTCCATGTCAACCAAGCCCATGATCTGTGCAGCCGCCTGGCCGCTGTCATGGAGTCCATCCACAGCACCTCGATAGTCATCGTGAAGTAAAGCCCTGAATGAAACCCCCAACAACCTCCTTGAACTGTGCGTCTGACCGGCAAGCAACATGGCTGATAGCTCGTTCTGTGCTGACAGACTGTGGGGTTGAGACAGCGTGTAGTTTTCAACAAGCCAAATTATGTATTTCATTTTACCTTCAGTTTTAGCATTGCACATGAAATTCACTGATATTTTAACATAGCACGCTGTAAGCACTCATTAGGGATAGACTGGGATGGGGCAGGGTTCTCACCACCTGAATACATGCTCATTACAATGTTATCAGGACATTTCAGCCCAAACTTCTCTGTGAAAGCCCTGTGAAAGAAATGATCAGAATGAATCCTCCGTTTTCTTCTCAGCAGCTTTCATGAATTCTTTCTGTCTGCCCACCACTATCAGCAGCCCCCACCCAGTCTACTGAGAAAAGACTAACAGTGCTTAAAAATTGGAAAAGCCTTAAAGTAGCAGCAGGTTATGTGAAAGAGGCCAACTGTGATTGTTTTTATGCCTCCATGCCGGCGATAGCCGTAGCTGGAGCATTATATTTTCGGGTTCTCCTGAAGGAGATATCTCTAGAATGCCTTCAGGGATTTTTTCAGATTTAACACAAACGTCCACTTGAACTCGGCAATGAATTGATTAGATTCTGGTGGTCAAAGGTCACTGTGACCATGTCTGTGTCATTCTTGTGAACGCAATATCTCAAAAACACCTTGAGGATTTTTTTTCCCAAATTTGGCACAAACTTCCACTTGGACTTATCAATGAACTGATTAGATTCTGGTGGCCATAGGTCAAAGGTCAATGCATCTATCTCATTGTTGTGAACGCAATATCTCATGAATGCCTTGAGGAAGTCTATTCAAATTTGACACAAACGTCCACTTGGATGTTCCATAGAAGAGTAGACTGATTAGAATTTGGTGGTCGAACATCAAAGGTCAAGATCAGTGTGACCTCACAAGATATGTAGAAATTATTTCCTTTCTCTCCTTTTTATGTCTCCACGCCGGTGATAGCCGAGGCTGAACAAATGATCTTATCAGCTTGTCCATCCCATTCTTGTGAACGCATTATCTCAAGAATGCCTTGATGGAATTTCTTCAGATTTGGCACAAATATCCACTTAAACTCTACAATAGACTCATTAGAATTTGGTGGCCAAAGGGTCAAAGGTCAAATGTCACTGTGACCTCACAAAATATGTTTTTGGCCATAACTCAAGAATTCATACACTAATTATGACAAAACTTGACACAAATGTCTAACAGGATAAAATAATGAAGTGATGACATTTATATCCAAAAGGTCAAAGGTCAACTTCACTGTGACAGTATAATGTTCTGCATCAAACACTTTTCTGGCCTTCAGTCAGTGTCATATCTCAGGAACAGAAGGGGAGACATTTGGTCAGATACTGAATTGGTGACTTTAATCTTGAAACTGTGCTGATTGTATGGATGTGCTGGATCCATGTTTTCACTGACATGGATGTAAACTGTAAGAGTGCGCGGAGGCATCAACCGCGGGGCGGTAATTCTAGCTCTCCCATGACCCACAGAACTGGCAGCAGTTATTTGTTTACCAGATCAGTTGACACCTGAAAACATGTTTAAGCCTTTCTGCCTCATTTTGGTAGCCTGGTATCACCCAGCCAATTCAAAATGCAAATTAGCGAACAATGCATAGACAATAAATAAAACATAAGGTTGCATATTTTCCATTTTGGTACCCACTTCAAAAGCACAACACTTACCGCCATGCCCAGTTCTGGTTCTGTGTAGCGGCTCTGATCTGTTACCTAAAAAACTGTGTAGCTGTTCCTGTAATCAGCTTCTCATCAGCCGCACAAACAGCTTGAAGCTCAGATCAGCACTCTGAACAGTTCAGGCATGGACATGTTTTATTGGCCGTCAAACCTGTTAACTTTAATTACTGGTAACAACTGGCGTGTCACTCAACTCTGCAGGAAGTGACTGGATCGGTAGGATTTTTTGTTGTGTTGTTGTGAAGCAGTGTGAACACACAATAAGGCCTTCATACAGGGCTGAATGATATAAAAGAAACACTAGATTTTTACTGCACAGTAACAAATGCTTTTTTAAGTATATGTTTTATATTACTTTGTATTTTTCCAAAACAGGAAGTGTCACATGTAGGTGAAGCTGGAAAAAGATATCCACAGTACTATTATGCATAAAAATATAAATGGTAGGGCATCTGTAACTGTTTAAAGAGCTGCTGCATGCTCAGATGTTCAGACTGCAGTAAATCTGTGCACTTAGAACTATCAGTCAGTGGCAACTCTTTGTTTACGTCTGACAGAGCACTGTTGGACAGCACCTTGCTCAACACGTGCCTTTTCTCCCCTTTTAAAGGGTTCTTTGTAAACCATGTAAACCCTTTCAAAGGAAAGACATGGGACAAGAGATGAAATCCTTTTTTCTGAGGTCCCAGATGCAACGCAGTATCAAGAATGAATCCTCTTAATCGGGATTTTTTTTAGGACAGAAACATGGAGCTCCTCGAACAGCCATTTCTGGCTGCTGATTTCACACTGCTTTTTCACTCTGTACTCTGTGATGATACTCAATAAATGTTTTAAATACCCAGTGTACACCATCATCTTTGACTGTCTTCATTTGTGTAGTGGGAGAAATGCTTGCTAAAAAGTGTCTGGCTGTAATGAGAAATAAAAATGACGTGATTTACGGCTTCAGTGGATTAAAGCCCTGTCTCCACCAAACCCTTTCAGTCATGCGAACAAATGTATACAGTAGTCCTATATACTGGGAGAAAGGGAAGATGATGAGGAGAAATGGGAATCCGTGAGAGGCGAGAGATGAGAACGTGAGTGGACATAACATGCCTGAGACCCTGAAACTAGAAGTAGCATTAACTAACAGCGAAGCAGTGAAAAGGAGGGTGATGGCTGGTTCCATGTACTACTGGCTGTTTAAGAGAAATAAACAGTAAAGGTAAGCATATGATTCTCTTTGTAGTGCTTTTTGAATGACTTGGTGATGGTGATGAGCCTCTATGAAATCGTGAAATATGCTGGCAATCTCAAGCGCTCTGTGGGCATGATTTGCACGCATGCAATTAAAAACAAATCACAACTGATTGTGTCCCCCCAAAACTTGTCATCAGATCTGCACCCATGTTTTCAGTACAGTACCTTTGGAACCAACAGTAACCCTTCAGACATGGTACCTAGACCCTCGGTCTGTTTAGTGTTTCCACCACAGACAGTCCTCTTAAATTTGGGCGGGGTTGTTGTCACTCACTGCTCCGTCCAGCGCTCACTGTATTTCCTCATCAGCGGTGACACAGATGGAAGTCTGCACTTGGTTTATTGTCCACAGAACGAGGCTGCACGCCGACATTTTCAGAACAAAATAGAACAGGCTGCAGTGAGAGTCTCTCTCCATGGGATATTTAAAAATAGCAGCTTTGTGCATTTAGTCCTTCTCAGGCAAGCTCAGGGGTTTAGTGTTGCTGGAGCCCACAGGAACGACGCTTTGCGACATGAGGATTAGAATATATGACCTTCACATAATCCAGCCAAAATTAATACATATAAATGCTTGAAGATCCACTCATTACTAAAAGTGTCTGTCATATAAAAACTAAAGTGATGGTCAAAGTTGTCACAGTGAAATTTAAGGTGTGTTGATTGAGTCACCTCATCACCTCATGCATTGAGTAACATTACAAGTAAATGTTCCACCTTAAAAGTTGACAGCAGTCGGCCCAGTGAATGAAGTTATTTTTTCTCTGACTCCGGGCAAAACATCCTTTCATTTATAGTTACAGTTTACTAATAAAACTCAACCAAAAACTTCCCCAGTTGATTTGTTACAGTGAGACACCTTTTTTATTGTATTGCAAGTTTTCTGAAATGTTATCTTTAAATATGCACTAATTTGCACATTTCCAGAACAGAAATCTGAACATTGGATAAATCCAGGTTCAAAATTCTTGTTTCATTTCATTGACATTTTAGAGTCAAATGTTTTTACAGAGGGGATTTGGGATATTTATTCTTTGTTTCTTAATAAATCAGAAATCACTGTGCAAACCATTTTTTTAAAAATCTATTTTCGCGATGTTTTTAGGAATAAAGTGTTACATTAATCAGTTGATATATAAACTCATTTTGAGACAATGGCCTTTAAAGATATGTACTCTAAGATTCCATATGTTTTTAAGTGTACGAATTTTGACTAATAGATATCACGATTAAAGTTCCTCAGTTGATTAATATGCAAATGAGGCATAATCTAATTAAATATGTGCCTTTTGCATAGAATTGCAGAGCTGAAATCTGAATTAAAATAAACACTTAAATATATATTTTGGACATTTTCTTTCTACTCGTCTGAAAGAAGACATGCTATGGAAGCAAAAAAAAAAAAAAAAAAAAACAAGTCACCAGACTCCATTGAGAAAAACAGTAATTTTGGCTCACTGAACGCAGGAGCTGCTGGTCTAACGCTGCTTTGATCAGTTAGTGAGTTTGTGTTATTGTGTGACTTTAGTGAATCCAAAGTAACTCTTTCAAACACCAAAGTCACACAATTACATAAATAAAATAACTGATGGAAGCAGCAGTAGACCAGCAGCTCCTGTGTTCGGGACTGTTAAATTACTGCTTTTTTTAGTGGAGTCTGGCTTTGAAGAAATGACATAAAGGTTTCAGTTCCCCATCAGCAATGGCTGCCTGGCCGAAAGGTAAAGATTTCTGCAATGTGAAGTTAAAGAAAATACTCTCAATATACACTTAAACTGATAATGGTGGTTGTTGTAGGTGAGACCTTTTTTTAGGTGTTTAAAATATATTTTATCGCTGACCCCTCCACAGCAGTACATTGCTTAGCTTCTGGGTCAGACTCCAGCCTGCTTCTCCAAACTGGGGGCGTGCCGACAATCATTTACTGTAGGTAACAGATTGACCATGGATGAGTACCTCATACAACCCCACTTCAAAAAAATCTGAACTATCCCTTTAAGAGAAATGCAGATTACCTCCAGGCTCATCGTTTGACAAATGTCCCTGCTTTCTGACCCCTGACACCCATCTTATTTCATACTTTCACACATGAGGCTGTGAGTAACTCTACCCATCTGGTCCTTGATTTACGAGCAGCAGTGACATTCTTACATTTCAGCCTCTTCCGCCTGTGTCTTAAGTGCTAAACTTCTGTGCTGTTTTCATGGCTTCAGTTTGCAATGGCACACATAATCTCCCGAGTCCCTTCTGCAGCACTCCACCAGAACAGTGTTCTGTTTCTTCACTGTTAATCAAATCCACATCAAAGGTGAGATTAAACTGAGATTAAGAGAATAATACGAGTGAGTCAGGGTCTGTGCTGGGCTGGATTAAGATCTGATTTTCACTGTCTCTGTCGTCCATAACTACTCTGATGCAGGATGTGTGAAGGCTGCCAGAAGGGGTGCTGATGATGACAAGTCTTCAGCTGTCCGAAGGTGTCAGGACATGTGCTGTTATTGTTCCATCTGAAAACCTGTCGTTTGAGGCGTGTGGTTGGTCATTCTGTGCAAAAGTAGTCATCATGTGGTTTGTAGTAATGTTCATTTGCACACAACACATTACAGCAGTGCAACTGTTGCACTCTTAAGATGACAGGACTTGGTCTTCTGTTTGGCAACTTTATTTTTCCCGGCCCTCTCCCCCTCTCAGGGTGGTATCTGTATCATCCTCAAGTTCAGGTCCTCTACCAGCGGCCTGGGAGTTTGAGGGTTCTGCACAGTACCTTAGCTGTTCCTAGGACTGCACACTTCTGGACTGAGGCTTCAGATGTTGTGCCTGGAATCTGCCGGAGCCACTCGAGTGGTCCTACTACCACGGGGACCATGCAACATCAACCACATGAATGCCAGGACCCAAGGTTTCTGTTGGGAAACCTTGGATCCTGGCATTCATGTGGTTGTCACCTGACACCCCCCCCTCACCTAAACACCAGTTCAAACCAGGTACCTCCACTCATGGCAACGGCACTCCCAGTAGATGTGGCCCCCCAGCAGGACAATGCACCGTGCCCTACCTGCTCAGGAGTGATCCAAGGAATGTGACGAAGAGCTCAAGGCGTCAACCTGGCCTCCAAATTCCCCAAATCCCAGTCTGATCAAACATCTGTGGGACATGCTGTTACCCCACCTCACAACCCACAGGACCCAAAAGATCTGAAGCCAAGGTGTTGGTGCCAGACACCATAGGACACCCTCCAGAGGTCCTCCAGAGCCAAGTCCGGTCCAAGTACATCACTCAAATGTTAGATCAGATTGGGATCTGCGGTATTTGGAGGTCAGGTCAACACCTTGAGCTCTTTGTAGTTTGTAGGCAGTTTCTGTGGTGTGACATGGTGCATGGTGCATGCTGGTGGGGCACTGACATCCACTATTGCTGTTGCCATGAGTGTAACGGATCAGTGTATATACATATATATTTATTTATTTTTTATTATTTTTTTTTTTTGTAATAATTTGCTCGGAGCAGCTTGATCTCACATGGCAGCACAACAAACATGTCCTCTGAAAGAAAAAGCAAAAAAAAGGTGCCCCCTAATGACGTTTCTCGCTCACAGATTATTTTACCCTCTGTCTGTATAAACAATGAACTCAGGCAGAAGAATAAACAAAGTATTTAATCAAGGGACAGAAAAGGAAATTGAAATGTGTTCTGCTGGAGATGCCTGACGCATGACATTTTCATTGAGTTCATAAAGTTGAATATTTCACAACACCATTCCTGTTCATTCAGATTCAAACAGTGCCAGCATTGTTATCATTACGATTTCCTGAGGATGTTTTGGAGCTTTCTCTCCGCTCTGCATCAGTGAACATTTCCACATCCAGCAATGACGGGTTACATGAACACCATGCATTGTCTATTTCATCTCAAGAGTTGCAGCTGAGTTTAAGACGGACACATGTGAAACAACAACAAACAGGACGTTTGAGGAGATTCAAAGTGTCAACTAATGGCCAATAACGTGAAATGTGTCGGCTCTGTGAGGCTTCAGCCAGCTGCCTGCTGGAGGGAAATGTTGCAGTGTGAAACTGAGCATGTTATTCAGAGTTTGAGGCCGAGCCAGGGGTCATTTTGGTTTCCTTGCATTGCGAGCCATAAACATTAGCATAGGCATAGACATAGACTCTGGGCCCTTTATAAAAATAGGCTATATCCAAATTTATAAATGGAGATGTCTGAAATAATGTTTGACAGTGACGAACGCACTGCTGTACACTGACGTGTGACGTGGCTGACACAGTGTTAGAGGCACCGGGCTTCATAAATCTGCAGCGACTGTGACACAATGAGTGATGTTGGGAGGAGGAATAACAACACGTGTATAATGATACGGGTCATTATTTCTTCTTCGCCCATTTAAGTTTTTATCCAGCTGCAGTTCTGACATCTGTTTTGTGCATCAGTGGACGGGGATTATTTGCTGTATGTGTGTGTCATACACCTGATTTAATTTGACAGTTTTCGTAATGTGAACCTTTCGTGCTTTTATTTTGAAGGCAACACGCCCAACCGGAAGCGTTCGTTTTAACTAGTTTTCCTGATCTTCACCAGCTACGGGAGTTTCCTCCTGCGAGCGGCCCGAAAACAGAGAAATCCGACGCCAGGTGAACATACCTGGGAATGAGGAAAGCCAGCAGCCAGGTGTGTTAAACATGGCGGGGAGGAGTAACGTTACAGAGCCTGGCTCGACCGCTGGAAGCTGAACAAAGACGCTGCTGATTACCGCATCCGAAGAGCGGAAGTTGTTGAACGAAAACAGTCGGAGGGACCGAGACGGTGTTCATTTATTGCCTTGTGCAGCGTGGACAGAAGACTTGTCGGAGTTTAGGAGTTTGGATAATTCAGAAAGCACCTCTGGAGACAGGTAAGACAGAAAAAGTTGCAAACGGACGAGGGATTTTTTTCATCAGAAGTGTTGAGTAGTTAGCTAACTAAGTTAGCTAGCTAACGTTACAGGAGTGTCTTCCCTCTCTGAATATTGTCTCACTGTCACTAACTTTCTGCTTATAACCGTGACAAATACAGATGATTTAATATCACATTTTTTCACCAGAAAGTTTGACTTTAATTTTAGTAATTTTCCCTTCCGGCTTGAAGGCACGTTGATGAAAATAAACTAGCGTTGTGTTAGCTAAACTCGGTAAACGGATCCTGCTAACTTGGTCTAAATATATATGGAGGCGTAAAGGTGCACTCATCTGCTGAGGTGTGAGCTCTGCACAGATCAGGCCACCACAGCAGCACCCGGTGCTTTACTCTAATTAGATAGTGTATGTCTTGCATTTTGTTGTAACCGGGTGTTGCATCACTCCCAACTTTGCATTTAGATTCACAGCTGTTTTTGACACAAGCCATTTTGGTACTTCCTGTTTATTTTAAAGGTAATCAGTGTGAACATTAACGTTACATATCTTGTATTTCTACTGTGATCAGTTGAATATGTGTCAGAAAGTGTCTGCAAATCACTGAATTCTGTTTATTTTGACACTTTACAAATGTCCTAACTTGTTCTGGAGCCGGGGTGTTGTACAGTTTCAGGATAAATGCAGAGGATAGTAACTCTTTCTTATTTGACTTCCATTTGTCGTCACGTTGACAGGTGTGCTCGCACAAACTTGGGAAACCAGTGATTTGTGTTTGCTCAAAGTCTCTGTTGTTAGCAGAGATGAACAGGCAGTGAGGGAACTGAGCTGGCAGACTGAAGTATATGGACACTAGAACATTAAATACGTTCTTGTGCAGACTGCTGGATGTATCTTTCCAAATACATGATTATTAACAGGGCTCCAGACTGACTTTGGTTAGTCAGAGCACTGTAGCCCTTAACTTTGGGAGCACAAGCAGAACATGTAGGGGCACATCTTAAATCGTCCTGCAACACAATTATTCACATTTTTGGCCATTTTAACTGCATCATAAACTGTCTGTGTCTACTGTATGTTAACCTTGGACTGTTTTAATTATTGAAGTATTTAGCATCACAGACGTGTGGTCAGTGGGATGTGAGGATTCTTAAAATAACATCTGTACAGATGTGAAGCCCTGACTATATCTGACTGATCTTTAATGAAAGTTTTTGTCTTGTATTTTTTCCCCTCTGACACAATTTATTTAGGCTATGTAGTTGAGGGTACAGGTCAAACTGATACGATTATGAGAATACATGTCAAATGGAGGTTGAACCATGAACATAAATTACAGAAAGCCTGTGAAGCATTTTAATAACTCAAACTATAATAATTAAAACAATTGGAGACTCAGAACAAACTGATATGAGTTTGGATTCATTTGGATTCAGCCCAAATGTCCGGACTTCACTGCACATGCAGATGCACAGACTTTGCAGGCACGCTCCCGAGAAGTCCGGGAGTGCTGTCTAAATCCACAATTCAGTACTGACCACGATGGGTGTCAAGTGGACTCTCTGCAGACTTACAGAGAGTCCATTTGGGGTGCAGACTTCAGCAGACTACTATTAAATAACCTACATTTTATTGCAATACGGACATGATGTTGTGGGCTTTTGAACTGCCGAAAAACAAACAAACATATGAATGTGAAAATAGTTATTGATAGTTAGGTCTATTAAATGTTTCTTGAATTGTGTCGGCCAGAAATAATATTCAACCACATCATGATACAGAAATATGTAGAAGTATGGGCTGTAGGGGAACTGAAAATAAATTTTATTATTGCAGGCTGTGCAGTGAAATAGGCTAAAAAAATGGGCAAAAAACAAGAAAAAAAGGATTCTGATGTCAGTAATGCCCAATTTATTGAATTATAGTCCTGTTCTTTTTCACAAACATTTGTTTTCATACACTGTAGCCTGTAATACAGAGGTGTATTAATACATTTTTGTTTAGTCACAAAAAAGGCTATATGTGGGAATTATATCTTGTTATCTACAGGAACAGATGAGTAGGCACGGTTCATCAAATTATATGACATATATATGAATATGCCAGCAGCGACAGTACAGCTGAAGTCCGCGAGGGCTCAGTCTGCAGGTCCAGAGTTTGGACATTTGAATTCAGCCTCTGACTTGACCGCAGCTTGTTGTCACCGCATCCTGCTGCAGCCGTCTGCTCTCGTCCACTTTCCAGGCGAGGCGCAGTTCTCCTCCAACGAGCCTACTGAGATGAGTGTAGATGATGTGATCCTCGCAGTTAACCAATCCCTCACTCCCTGACTTTCCTCCTGTCACACACATTGGCCTACACTGACGGACTCTCTCCCTTGTTTTAATACATAAAAAAAAGGCTGCAAATTTGCAGGTTGCACACAAGTGAGTAGTTGTAAAAAGCACTTTCACTGACTTCAAAAACAGTGGCACAATATGCTGGTCTTCTTTTCTGCGTCTTTACTTTTGGGACCTGGCTGCAGATACACTGCCTGGCCAAAAAAAAAGTCGCCACCTGGATTTAACTAAGCAAATAGGTATGAGCCTCCTATTGGATAATTACTGCATGGGCGATTATCTTTCAGCTGGCAACAAGTTATTTAACCCCAACTGGTGCAATGAGTTGCTTCTCATTTCCTAAACAACCATGTCGAAAGACACATCCCGTGGTTGTGGAAAAGATGTTAGTCTGTTTGAGAAGGGTCAAATCATTGGCATGCATCAAGCAGAGAAAACATCTAAGGAGATTGCAGAAACTACTAAAATTGTGTTAAGAACTGTCCAACGCATTATTAAAAACTGGAAGGATAGTGGGGACCCATCGTCTTCGAGGAAGAAATGTGGCCGGAAAAAAATCCTCAATGATCGTGATCGGCGATCACTTAAACGTTTGGTGAGATCAAATCGAAGAAAAACAACAGTAGAACTCGGCTATGTTTAATAGTGAAAGTAAGAGCATTTCCACACGCACAATGCGAAGGGAACTCAAGGGATTGGGACTGAACAGCTGTGTAGCCTTAAGAAAACCACTAATCAGTGAGGCTAACCGGAAAAAAAGGCTTCAATTTGCTAGGGAGCATAAAGATTGGACTCTGGAGCAATGGAAGAAGGTCATGTGGTCTGATGAGTCCAGATTTACCCTGTTCCAGAGTTAAGGGCGCATCAGGGTAAGAAGAGAGGCAGATGAAGTGATGCACCCATCATGCCTAGTGCCTACTGTACAAGCCTGTGGGGGCAGTGTTATGATCTGGGGTTGCTGCAGTTGGTCAGGTCTAGGTTCAGCAACAGTATGTGCTCAAAGAATGAGGTCAGCTGACTACCTGAATATACTGAATGACCAGGTTATTCCATCAATGGATTTTTTCTTCCCTGATGGCACGGGCATATTCCAAGATGACAATGCCAGGATTCATCGGGCTCAAATTGTAAAAGACTGGTTCAGGGAGCATGAGACATCATTTTCTCACATGGATTGGCCACCACAGAGTCCAGACCTTAACCCCATTGAGAATCTTTGGGATGTGCTGGAGAAGGCTTTGTGCAGCGGTCAGACTCTACCATCATCAATGCAAGATCTTGGTGAAAAATTAATGCAACACTGGATGGAAATAAATCTTGTGACATTGCAGAAGCTTATCGAAACAATGCCACAGCGAATGCATGCCGTAATCAAAGCTAAAGGCGGTCCAACGAAATATTAGAGTGTATGACTTTTTTTTTGGTGGTGACTTTTTTTTTGGCCAGGCAGTGTAGTTGTTCCCTTTATGAGCAATAGTGAGATGATGTTGGGTGATAAGTCCTGGCTCTCAAGCAGTGCTCCAGATTATCCTCAAAAGTGTTGGGCAGGTTAACATCAGGGTTCTGTGCAGGCCAGTCAGGTTCTTCCACATCAAACTGAGAAAAACAATGTGGTTTGTGCGTCGGGGCATCGCTGTGTTGCAACAGGAAATGATCGTCAAGCTGTCACCGCAAAGTTTATTCACATGAACATCAAAATACTTTTGTATGCTGCAGCAGGAAGACTGTCCATATATTTTTAGTCATGTAGTGTATATGACAGGTGGTTAATGAGCTTTTGTGTCGCAGTATGCTACAACTGCTTTAACTTTATTTTGACAGCAGAGTTGGAGTGTAAAAAAATGTGCACACAAACCGTTTTATTCATAATTTTATGTTGCATAGATAATGAAAGCAGCTAATCAAGTGAGCCAATGCGCCATGCATCAAGTTTGTCCTTTCATTATTGATTCATTTTAATCGTTGTTGCATTTTAAAATACTAGTCATCAAACAGTAACTAATCATCATCAAATGAAGTTCTACAACTGCATTTTCTTTGCCATTAGCTGACAGTAGCTACACACTAGATCATAGTTTTTGTCTTTATATTACCTCATTCATTCATTCATTCATTCATTCATCCATTAATTAATCAATTGACAAGCTCTGGATCAGCCCTGGGACTTACAGGAAGGTGCATCAGACGGGTAAACAAGTTAAACCTGGACATAATAATATATTTAAAGCATTTAGAGAGCACCAGCTGCAGGGTAACAAATGCATTATGGATCAAAATGTAGACCATTTTCTTTTTCTCATTTCTGTCAGTTATGGGATGTATTTGTGATTTTTAACCAAAAGGGGTGGTGTGTAGGATTTAGGGGGATTTAGTGGCCCCTAGCTGTGAGAACTGCAACCAGTTAAAACTTCTCCTGGTCAGAATACCTTCAATGTTCATTGTTCATGAGGTTTTTAACAGGAGACAAGTGCCTGGTGATTTTAAACCAGTAAAACCAGTCCAAAAAAAATTGTTGTTTTCCAGACGCTGCTGTCCCTGAGAGGATGCTAACTTTGTTGGCCGTTATGAAAATGCAGAGACGCCAATGGCCTGATGTAGAGCCAGTGTTTGGCTTGTCCGTTCTGAGCTACTGTTGAAACATGGTGGTGCAATATGGCGGACTCCATGGACGGGGACCTGCTTCCTGTATAGATATAAACAGCTCATTCTAAGGCCAAGAAAACACAACCATTTTTATGCCTCTGCACAGTTGATTGCCGTGGTTGGAGGCATCATGTTTTCAGGTTGTACATGTACATCCGTCCCGTCTTTGTGAACGCAATATCTCAAGAACATCTTGATGAAAATTCTTCAAATTTGACACAAACATTTACTTAGACTCAACGATGAACTAGGGGTGTGCCATATCTTCTTTTTCATGATAATACTGGTATAATTTTTAATCTGAAATGAAAAATTCATATCGTGATACTCATGATATTTTGCCTTGTTGATGTTGTTTATGAACAGCCCCGGACTTCTCAGACTCTTTTAGTGACTTACCGCTCAGAGGGAACCCAGTCAGCGGCTCCTCTGGCAGCAGCACAGTTGGTGTCATAAAGTGATTTTGTCATGAACGTTTGGAAATGTAAACCTACGTGACGCTCACGGCTCAACAAAAAAACTTCATATGTGTGAATGTGTGGTAGTTGTGGTATCATAAGAGCCTGTCACAGGTTACAGCTTGATGATTAGAGGAGAAATGGCAGAGCATAAAGGTCCAGGTGGAAAAAAAACAACTATCTCAGTCATTTAGGATTTTACTAAAAGAAGGAAATCACCTGTTGATATATATATATATATATATATATATAGATCCCAGGGGACATTTTTTGTATTTGGGAGCTTTTTAAATGTGTAATTTGTGGTAGATTTTATTTAGTTGAACTATTAATACTGTAACAGAATCTGAATCTCACTCTGAGTTACTGTTGTTCACAAACTAAAGAAATGAGAGATCATTTTGCATTCGTTTTAATTCAGTATCTGACATTTGGTCAGATACTGAATTGGTGACTTTAATCTTGAAACTGTGCTGATTGTATAGATCATCTGTGTGTGAAGCATCCATGTTTTCACTGACATGAATGTAACCTGGAAGAGAAGCGCTAATTCTCGTTTATTTAGGCAATTATACACCTAAGAAAACATTATATTATAGTCCATTTCCGTCATTAATCCTCCTAAATCCTGCACACTGCGTCTTCAATTGTGTTTTAAGTTATTTTCTAATCTTAGAGGTACAAAAATACTGTGAGGAAACAGAAAATAGTAGTAAAGTTGCTGCTATTTTTAAAGCAATCTTTATTTCTATTAATCATCCTTTGTCTTTCTCATAATGTTTCTTTCCTGTCTTCCATTTCCTACTGCTCCCACTCAAACACTGAGTGACTGAGTGACAACTCCTCCGTCTCTTTGCCAACAGCATGCCAGAGCAAAATATTATTGTGACAGACAGACATTATGCCTCTAAAGAGTTCACTGCGGGTTGTGGGAATATTTGAGTTTTTCCTTAAAAGGAGAGAGTTGTCGTTGAATATGAACAGAAACACGGAGCTACAGTGATTTAATTTTTGGGAAAATGTACAGTTGTAGCATCTTTTGTATTGTTGCATTGACATGACCGTCTCTGCCCTTTATACCCACCAGGTGCTATGAGCAGTGAGCTGAACGTGCCGATGGGTTCTCCAGCCCCAGGGGTCTCAGAGCGGGCTCCTGACTGCGGGGGGATGGACTACAGGGACTGGGTGCGACGCAGTTACCTGGAGCTGGTCAGCTCCAACCACCACTCCGTGCAGGCCCTGTCCTGGAGGAAACTCTACCTGAGCCGGGCCAAGCTGAAGGCCTCCAGCAGGACGTCTGCTCTGCTCTCCGGCTTCGCAATGGTTAGTTTACTGTTAAAGAACGTGACCGCTTATTTTTCATGTTTCAGCCTGTGGAAAGTTTTTAGTTTCTCACCGCTGATTTCTGGGTATTTCATGGTTTCAGTTCATTTCACTACCGCAAATCATTCTAGCTGATCTACCACAGTGACCTACATGTCTCATGGAAATACAGTGGTGGCAGGATCTGGGTTTAAACTTCCTGTCTGTGTATTCAAGATTCAGTGTTGGCTGCTGAACAGTAACATCAATGCTTAAACTTTAATGTGTTGTTAACATAAATCATAATCCAGTGTCCGGTGTGTAGGATTTAGGGGGATATATTATATAATAGGTATGTCTTTTTTTGGTGTATAGACTCTTTTAGGGTGGAGGTGACAATGATGTAACTTTAATAGCTGGAGGCAAAACACAACTCTCCTGTTTTCATATTTTGGCGTCGATCACTGCCTTTAGCAGCCCGTCCACAACAAGAGTGTCAGAAAAACACTGATTTATTTTAATGTGAAGGTGCTTTATTTAGTGTGTTTTTTTTTTTTACCAGTTTTAATAACCTCCGACCTCTTTTACTGAACTCAACGGAGAAACCACACTAAATGTTTGCGTATGCACAAATGAGGGAATGTATGTACGCCAAAAATACTGTGATTTATAAAACCATGAGTACGCCTTTTATAAAGTCCAAATCAACTTGTCCACAAGTGGACCAGCCTCATATCCCTCCCTCATTCAGGCATAAATGTACAATGCAAAGCACTTCATTAGTGCTGATGTATTGATATAAGCTAGCTGATCAGTGGTTATTTGCGGTGAATCATGGCAACGGCCGAGAGGAAAACGAAGAAGATGAATATTTCTGACGCAGATATTGAGGTGCTTTTGGGTGAGCTGGAGGTTAGTAGCACATAGCCTTTTGTTTGGTGGGCGGTGGGGTCACAAGCTAAAGAAAAGGCTGTTGCTGCTTCTGCTTTTAATGCAGTCAGTTTTAAAGCCTGGTTAATGTGGTTGGGGTGAAAATGACTCGGTATATTCAGGCTTGTTATCGGGTTAAGGAAAGCCAAACTTTCCTGAATCCTGTCATCTTTTACTCACAGTGCCTGATTTGGTGTGAATGTAGCCTTATCATATTGTGACGCAGTAACCTGTAGGGGTGTAAATCACCAGTTTCATCAAGATATGATATTGTATAAATTCTTTGGACAACGATACGATATTTGCTGAAATTACAAAGTCTGCCATGATATGATTTCGGTGAGATGCGATTCAGTGGCCTGCGATCCTTAGGAGACGATTTTATCTGCCCATTTAACACAGTCAGTTACAGAAGAACCTGCCGCACCTTTGTTTTTTACTTTTGGCCATAAAAGATAAAAACAACACATTGATAATTTAAATAATTGTAACTGCTTAAGTGCAGTGAAGTTTAGTTTAAACTGACTCCACTAGCTTGCATGAAACAGCACATGGGATAAGCTAACCTTCAGGGCTTTCTGTCAGAGAGACCTTTGTGAAATAAATCTTTTCCATTTAACCCAAACTATCATCCTAAAACCCTTCCTAAAACTTAACAACTGTCCGACTTAAAGCCCTTAAGGCAAATTTCTCCCAGCAGTTATGTAACATGGACCAACAACAACATCACTTTACACCCCTGGTAACCTGGTTATTTGTGTCCCTGTAAACATGTCATAGGTGGCCATGGTGGAGGTGCAGCTGGAGATGCAGTACAGTTACCCCCCTGTGCTCCTCATTGCCTTCAGTGTGTGCACCACTGTGCTGGTGGCGGTGCACCTCTTCGCTCTGCTGATCAGCACCTGCATCCTGCCCAACGTGGAGGCCGTCAGCAATATCCACAACCTCAACTCCGTCAGCGAGTCACCGCACGAGCGCATGCACCACTACATCGAGCTGGCGTGGGGCTTTTCCACAGCGCTGGGCATTCTGCTGTTTCTAGCAGAGGTGGTGCTCCTCTGCTGGATCAAGTTCCTGCCCGTAGACTGCAGCGGGGCCAAAAAACCAAGCGCCTGTAGCCCCGCAGAGAAGCCGGCGTCAGCCTCATCTGAGTCGCAGGAGAGTGGCTGGAAGGCCGCGCTGGCCTCCACCATCATCATGGTCCCAGTGGGGGTGATTTTTGTGTTGTTCACCATTCACTTCTATCGCTCTCTGGTGCGCCACAAGACGGAGCGCCACCACCAGGAGATCGAGGAACTGCACAAGATTAAGGTACAGCTAGACGGCCAAGAGAGGGGCCTCCAGACTGTGTGATACCATGCCTGCAGCTTTAAGGACTTCTCTTTGTGTCTCATATTTATCTCTTCTCTGACATCTGTTCTGGTTCTTGTTGATGCCTTACTGGGACTCGTAGACAGCGAGCTTTAAAGCTCCTCACTCTGCAGCACAGACAGCCCACACATGTCAGACTGCTAATTTATTCTTAAGGTAAAGTTGCGTTGTGCAGTGCCATGTCTGTGTTTTAAATCTATTTTATGTTTAGGTAAAGGATGTAAAAAGGTTTACAGAAAAAGGGCTACTATGTTCTGTGTGCCATTTTTGTGCCATGTCTGTTTTTATTGTAGGGTTCGGTGACAGTAACTGGTTCCATTCGAATCTGGTACCCTCATTCACTCTGACGTCAGGTTTACACTGGACGCTGAAGTGCTACAAAGCACGATGATTTTCCGTGGACCAGTGCACGCTTTCTTTGGCGCTCATGTCAGAATGGACCCCGAGGTCTGCAGCCGGCTTGCAATCCGAGCGATAGTTCCGGTGTCTGGTCTGATTTTTCCGTGAGTAAATCTGGCAAGAAAACATAGACCACCGCTGTAAAAGAGATGTTGATAAAACTGTTGACAGGACACCTCCAACTGCAAACAAGGCCACTTATGACTCTTTCTATTCTGAATTTTTGAGCCATGGAGGTTATATGTTTGTAAAACTTTCCTCAAGCCGAGAAAAACTGTTTTAAAAATCTGTGACGTCATCACAATGCAAAGTGTAAGAGCCGAGTGGGGCCAGCAGGAGAAACACTTCTGCTCATATTCAGTGAGCCGCCTACCGGGGAAGTAAACCTGGAAGCTATAAAAAAATTTTGGTGTATGCACCAGGCGTGCAGCTCCATTGGAATAAAGTGGCTCCATCTTGCCTTCAAGTCATCCTAAAATATGCCTGGAAATGTCCATCATGGAGGAGAAGCTCCTTGACCAACTGGTGGTACTCCCCATGATCCAGCATCCTTTTTAGGGTCTCATGTACCCACACAGATCGCTCTTTATCTGCTGACAGCCTCTCACCCTCAACCAGAGCTACAGACAGTACCCTCTGCCTCAACATGTCAGGAACAAGACACTAATTACAGTAAAATACAAAAAAAATCCCAACAACGGTAGATTGATTACATGGGACGGTTAGTGTAAGAATGTAATGGGGTGGTTGCCCGGCAAGTGGCATTCCACTGAAATAAAAAAGGCATCACGGTGCTCCTCACGTTATGCAGCCTGCAAAATGCTTTCTGTGTGATCGGGGCCTCACGTGTGATTAGAACAGAACAGAATCTCTCGCTGACCAGCAAGGAGAAATGCGCTTCTGATGTGAGCGACAGTTGACATATCGGCGCGCTTCTGCTTCCAGTGTGAACTTGGCATGAGGCCAACAGGTCTCTTATCAAATCTTATCTCCTTACTCCTTGCTAGCAGAGAGCTGCCATCACTTTCACCAGTGGAAATGGTAAATGCCATAAGTAACTCAAAATCCAACTTTATATTATTGTGCTCTCCGTAACATGAGTTTTGTGCTTAGCCAAATACTGTTTGTTAGGGTGCTCTCACACCTGTCCTGTTTACTCTTGTAAACTCTTAGTCTTTACTCTTGTAACTCCTGTGTACTCTTCTTCAACATTTGGTTTACTTCCTGGATTTTTCCCGCATGGAAATTCTGACCAATCAAGAGCAGCTTTCTCACACAAGTCATTTGATCTGGTCCTCTTGTAAATGCTGCCGTGAGAACACGAACCAACTCTAGGCAATTATACAACTTTGTACCATTATTAGTCCCTGATTCAGACCAAAGGAGACGTCTCTAGGTCTGACAGGACCCTAACAGATAGAAGAATCACTTCCTTAGAACACTCAAGGATCAAAATCTGATCACATATCTGATAGTTTAAGTTATTTATAGATCCAGGTCTTTGCAAATGTTAACTGGATTCAATAAGAGATTTTAATTGGATTTAATATCCTGATTTAATAAACCCAACCTGCTGCATGGATTATGTGGTGAGTAAAGCCACAGTGTTTACACTTGACCTCCTCTTTCGTCAGGCTCACATTATGTAAAACTGAGCTTGTTGTTTTAACTGTAGAGAGCTGAGTCATCACACTGCCAGGACTTGCGTGTTTGTCTCTTTTCTGACTGATTGGGGGGTTTTAAAGTCTTAAGAAATGTTACATTCTGTGTGAAATTGTCAGAAAGTTGGTGTCACTGTTTTTCCGTCTGTCATTTTCCTCCTTTTAAATAGCTTTTATTGACTTAAACAAAGACCACAGCGCCTGTGTCAAAGGTGTCAAACCAACCGACTCTGCACATTGATGCTGCTCCAAGTGCTTCAATATGAATGTTACTGTCAAAATATAGTTCTGCCTTACAGAATTAATGCCTTTTATGAACTGCTGTTATACTAAAAGTCAGAACAGGAGCAGATGGTTATAGCTGGGAATATTGGGTGTGACAAAATGTAAAATAATGACGTTTAAATGTTGAGTCAGAAGAAGGCCCAGAAGGGATGGAGGAGAGGTGGGTAAGAGACAGAGTCAGAGTGACATGTTGTCATCAGTACGACCCTGTGACCTCCTGTGTATACAGTATATATTGGTGACCTTTCAGTAAGTGCAGGTTCATCAACACATACACACACACACCTCCTTGGATGAGGTTTGAATATGTTACTGTGTTTGACAAAACAAAATGTACCATCCTGTTGCCACATTCCAAATAAGATGACTGACCAAAGTGTTGCTCAGTTTGTTTCTCGCTCCTCAGAAGAGACAGAAGTGCACTTGTAGTTTAGTTGTGCAGCGAGTCAGCGCATAGAATATGTGTTTGTCTCGTGTTTGTGGTTTTGTGCTTCTTCAGGGGATGCTGCAGAGGTCAGGGAGACCTGTGTCGGGGAAATGAAATTCACAGCCTGCAACAGAGTTTCATAATAAAAACATTGTTAAAATTCATATTGTATCCTGTGTCTCTGTGACCAGTCACAAGCAGGATTTACTGTTTGTTTGCATCTCAAGTTGTCAAACCAGACATTCCCCCTATAAGTGCATGTAGAAACACTGCACTTTTTTTTTTTTTTTTAGTGACATACTACATTATGACATTTTATGACTTTTTTTTACCACATGCTGACTGTTTTTTAATGTTTTTTTTCTATGATTACCATACAGTTTTTACTGACTTTCTGACATTTTTGTAATGCCACACTGTACAAGGACTTTTTTAAATGACATATTTTACTGTTATTTTTCAGGGATGTTACTGAGATTTTTTACAGCAAATGACACTATCACTTTTTAAAAACATATTTTGAGTTATTTAGTTTTGATGACATACTACACTGACTTTTTTTATGACATTTTCAATGGCATACCACATCAGGGCTTAATTGCATTTATTTAATCATTTTTACTGACATCTTATAATATGACAATTTTATGAACTTTTATGACATAATGTTTATTAAGTATTATTTACATACTATTTTTTTATTTTGTATGACATGCTTTACAATTATTTTTTTTTTGAATACTTAACTATACTGTCACCTTTGAATGATTTAATGACGCACCACAGGCAGACCATTTGACTTTTTTAATAATTTTCTGTGCTATGACTTGTTATATGTTTTAACATTTTACTATTACGTTTTTGTCATATTTCGGACGACATACTATACTATGACGTTTTTATCATATTTTGGACGACATACTATACTATGACCTTTTTATCATGTTTTGGACAACACGCTATACTATGACCTTTTTATCATATTTTGGACAACATACTTTACTATGACGTTTTTATCATATTTTGGACGACATACTATCATATGACGTTTTTATCATATTTCGGACGACATACTATACTATGAACTTTTTATCATATTTTGGACGACATACTATACTATGACCTTTTTATCATGTTTTGGACAACACGCTATACTATGACCTTTTTATCATATTTTGGACAACATACTTTACTATGACGTTTTTATCATATTTTGGACGACATACTATCATATGACGTTTTTATCATATTTCGGACGACATACTATACTATGACCTTTTTATCATATTTTGGACGACATACTATACTATGACGTTTTTATCATATTTCGGACGGCATATTATACTATGACGTTTTTATCATATTTTGGATGACATGCTATACTATGACTTTTTTATCATATTTTGGACGACATACTATACTATGACATTTTTATCATGTTTTGGACGACACGCCATACTATGACGTTTTAATCATATATTTGACAATATACTATACTATGACGTTTTTATCATATTTTGGACGACATACTATACTATGACATTTTTATATTTTGGACGACATACTATACTATGACGTTTTTATCATATTTCAGACGACATACTATACTATGACGTTTTTATCATATTTTGGACGATATACTATACTATAACTTTTTCATCATGTTTTGGATGACATGCTATACTATTATTTTTTCATCATATTTCAGACGACATACTGTACTATTTAATCATATTTCGGACAGCATACTATACTATGACCTTTTTTTATCATATTTCGGACAGCATACTATACTATAACGTTTTTATCATATTTTGGACAACATACTATACTATGACTTTTTTATCATGTTTTGGACGATATACTATACTATGACCTTTTTATCATGTTTTGGACGACATACTATGCTATGACGTTTTAATCATATTTTGGACGACATACTATACTACGACGTTTTTATCATATTTCGGACGACATACTATACCATGACGTTTTTATCATATTTTGGACGACATACTATCATATGACCTTTTCATCATATTTTGGACGATATACTATACTATGACCTTTTTATCATATTTTGGACGACATGCTACACTATGACATTTTTATCATATTTTGGACGACACGCTATACTATGACGTTTTTATTATGTTTTGGACGACACGCTATACTATGACATTTTTATCATATTTTGGACAACATACTATTCTATGACGTTTTTATCATATTTTGGACAACACGCTAGACTATGACCTTTTTATCATGTTTTTGACGACATACTATACTATGACGTTTTTATCATATTTTGGACGACATACTATACTATGACATTTTTCTCATATTTTGGACAACATACTATACTGCGACCTTGTGATCATATTTCGGACGACATACTATACTATGACCTTTTTTTATCATATTTTGGACGACATACTATACTATGACATTTTTCTCATATTTTAGACGACATACTATACTATGACATTTGTATCATATTTTGGACAACATACTATACTATGACGTTTTTATCATAAATTTGGACGATATACTATCATATGACGTTTTAATCATATTTCGGACGATATACTATACTATGACATTTGTATCATATTTTGGACAACATACTATACTATAACGTTTTTATCATATTTTGGACGACATACTATACTATGACGTTTTTATCATAAATTTGGACGACATACTATCATATGACCTTTTCATCATATTTCGGACGACATACTATACTATGACGTTTTTATCATATTTTGGACGACATGCTATACTATGACATTTTTATCATATTTTGGACAACATACTATACTATGACCTTTTTATCACACTTTGGACGACATACTATCCTATGACGTTTTTATCATAAATTTGGACGACATACTATCATATGACCTTTTCATCATATTTCGCACGACATACTATACTATGACATTTTTCTCATATTTTGGACGACATACTATACTATGACATTTGTATCATATTTTGGACAACATACTATACTATGACATTTTAATCATATTTTGGAAGATATACTATGCTGTGACTTTTTTTTATCATTTTTGGACGGCATATTATACTATGACCTTTTTATCATGTTTTGGACGATATACTATACTATGACGTTTTTATCATATTTTGGATGACATGCTATACTATGACGTTTTAATCATATTTTGGACGACATACTATACTATGACCTTTT